AGATGCAGTAGCAGGGCGGCCCGGTACCATTTGTTCTGCGGACCGGTATCGGGCCGCGGCCCAGGGGTTGGGGACCACTACACTAGATTACTCTAGGTAAGTCATACATTCTCAGCCTCTGATAGGCTTAAGTTGCCACAAGTTAGAAATGACTTGAAGGTACACAACAGCAATAAGGGAAGTTATGATGGCATAGTGATATCATTGTATCAACATAATTTTACATCAGTGCAGCTGCCACATCTTTATAACTGATGCTACAATTATAATATAATGTTTTGTAACTGAAGGGGAGAAGGACAAAGCATGAGAAAGTTACTTTTTAAATTGCAGCTCTTAGGATCTTTTAAAACTACAGCTCTCACAAACTCCCATCCAACAAACTTTGGAAATCCATTTCTAAAAACTTTTTTCATGTTCTGTACATGTCAAGAAGATATACCACATGGCTTCTACATCTCCCTATGATGATTTTCTTGGAACTGTAAACTAAAAAGTGAGATATTGGGATCTTCCCTCATTGGGAAGAGCAATGAGTACAAAAAGAGCACTTTGCCCAAACAGCCATCAAGCAAGTGGGGAAGAAGATGAGAAAGACTGGGATGTTCACTGTTCAATATTTCAGATAACATACCCAAGAGTATCAAATCCACAATACCAAGTGGGGTTGCAAGGACAATAGGTCAAAAAACAGGTTTCCCAGGTCAAAAAACAGGTTTCCTGGGAGACAGGAAGCTCCAGGAAGAATCTGGGTGACCTTGGACAAGTCACACACTCTCAGCTTCAAAAGAAAGTAATAGGAAAACCCATCTGAATAAACCTTGTGAAGAAACAAAGGTTCGCCTTAAGGACACTGTAGATCAGAAACAACTTGAAGGCACACAACAAGAATAAATTCAAACATCCCAAAGTGCTAGGAAGGAATTAGTCTGCATAGAAAAACTAGTTGGGGTTTTTTGGGGGGGGGCATAAAAAGCTGTTTTCTGTGCGACAATTGGGCAGGGGGTTGCATGCACACACATACACACAAAGTGACATGTTTTTTCTCCACAGAATAATTCCTTCACAACACTTTAGGATGTAAATACAGGGACAATACTACAAAAGAACATTTGTTTTCTCCCCAGGGTGGGAGAATAACTGTAATTATTCATCCTCACATACAAACCTGGAATAGCCAAGGATTTATATCCCTAAAGGACAAGGCATCCTGCACAGGTAAACAACGGAAGTGTCTCACTCAATGTGAGAGGTGTTCTCAAATGTCTACATCCCCCACCGTCACGTCTAGTAAAGGAGATGACACTCAATAACCATGACCACAGAGCATCTTCCATCAAACTTCTTAGCTGTATTCCAACATTCTACTTTATGCCACTCTTAGCCCAGCAGATGCTCCCAGGAACATCTCTTCTTAGATATATCTGTCTGAAGAGCAAGGACTGTTAAAGGGCCTTCCTTAATGCCCCACTGATGGCAGTTACATCCTATGTGAAGACATAGGAGAGGCACCTATGTCTACTGAGACACCCTTATTGTGGATTACCCTCCCCTTCCTGACTGGGGCCAACATTGGCTTTATTTCAAGGCCAAGTTAAAATAGCCTTTCCTTGAAAACTTTGGGGGACTAATGCTTTCATTCGGGTTGTACATGTTCATGATTTAAACTGTTTTAAATTATACATTGTTTTAAATTGTTTGAACTAATTTTATTGTATGCTGCTTGGATATAGGGCAGGATGCAAAGGTCTTAAGGGAGAGTGCATCTACACTGTAGCGATAATGCAGCTTGACACCACTTTAAGTGCTATAGCTCCATATTATGGAATCCTGGGACTTGTAGTTGTGCAAGGTCTTTAACCTTCTGTTCCAAAGAGTACTGGTATCTCCCAAAACTACAAATCCCAGGATTCTGTGGGATGGAGCGTTGAAGTGACGTCAAACTGCATTATTTCAACAGTGTAGATGCACCCAGAGAGAGAGAGAGAGAGAGAACTCAGCCTTTTTCTTTGAATAGGATCTGTCCCCAATATGTCATGAGGCGCTAGCTCTCTTCTTGTCTATCTCTTCCCAGCACAACTTTTAAACCAGCTGATTCGGCTCTATGAGAGGAACTCAGGGCCAGCCTCTTGTGTTTTTTTGATCTTTGGGTTTTATTTTGTGTGTATCCAGGAAGGTTTTGCACAGCTTCCATTTATGCCACCTTACACTTGAATGAAGACATTTTAATCTCCAGATCATGATCTTGGCTTGCTTAGCATGTTTGGAAGGCTGTCCTTTCTGTTTCCAGAAGGGTGAGAAGTCACCCTAGTTGCCCTTTTCTCAGCTGTGTTCCACATATCGATTCCTAATAGATTCCAGATTCAGCTGGAACTGTTTGCCTTTGAGTGCCAGCTATTATGTATCTCCATTGTGCCCCAGACCTCATCTAGTTCCTCTTGGACTGAGGCCAGCTCTGAGAGATTTATTTTTCACTTCTAAGGAAGATTCAGTTGTACCAATTGCATCATTTCAACTCTGAGATG